TCTTAATTTAGTAATTTTAGTAAATACAAGAAGCGTTTCCTTAGTAATAAACAATAATTGTTAATATGAGAGTTATCAAGAATGTAACTTATTAGTAAAGGCCCAGAACATGTCTATATAAGAACAAAGTACCAGCTACAAAAAATTGCATTTGTGCAGTGTTAAATCCCTCTAACAGTAAAAAATTACTTAAATTTATAAAGATACTGACATTTACTCTGTACTAGCCACAATATTAATTATCCATTGTATACTATTGTAAAAAACAGCATTTATAAGTTATTATACCTCTGGTAATTATCCTTTGAGGTTGAAGCGGTAAATAAAAAAAAGAATTTTACCTACTTTATGAATTTATTTAATGTAATTTCTGTAAAAACATAAAAACCTAAATCTGTTTACATGAACGTAAAAATATAGAAAATATCTTTCAAATGAAGTATCACATGACCCTACTTTCTATTATAAAATTTAAAGCTAGTAACTTCCTCTATCTTACGTGTCCCAAATAAAGTGCATCTCGTTATAACAAAAATATAATATCTCTTGAGTTTTACCTCGTTTCTGTTTTGTCATTATCTTTTTTCATTTAGAAGTTAAAATAGTAGTGAAGGGTACAATTTTCGTCCTCATTGTATATAATACATTCGTTTGTATTACCTTTTCTTTGACAGTTTTTCGAAAAAACACTTAAAAATTTTCAACTTATCTTCAAAAGTAACCTCAGAAAAGCAGAATAAGTTAAATATAAGAAATGATTGTATAAATTTTAAATAAATGAAATGAGAAATATTTTTTCTTATAAATCACTATTGATAAAATCTTAATAACACAAGTATCATTTGTTACTATTTAATATATATAGAATAGGTGTGTTATAGTTAACTTTTTGACTATCTCGAAATCTAATATGTTAAAATTTTAAGTTACGATAAGCTATTGAAATTTTCAAATAAGCAAAGAGAAAATCGTTCGAGAGAGCCCGAGAGAGCTCGAGAGAAACGAGAATTCTCGTCGAGAGATGACACTCTCTCGTCTCGAATCTGTTTTCGAGAGAAAATGTCTCTCTCGTATCGTTCGAGACGAGACAAGACGAGAATCTCTCAGCTCGCGGCATCACTAATTACAATTTATGTTAATATCGTAAAATTTAACACCCGTTAAAAATAAACGTATTTGAATTACAGAATTACCACTATTGAGTAAAATAAGTTGTTTTATACAAACGTACGTTTGTACTGCGTCGGCAGACGGACCAAGAACGCAGTGGTGGTGATGTCTGTCCTTTTAGAACCACTTAGGCTATTTATTGGATGAATTGCCCAATGCATCTTTTTAAGAGGTTTTTTTGAACATAAACATGTAAATGACAACCGGATCCATTCTCTTCGACAACTGTTTTGCAGAACTGTGGCTCTAATCTCCTCTCCACATGCGGAGGTTGGGAAACGCAATGACCGAAAAAGCAAACGGGCTTTAGTGAACGATTAACGTATAATCGACGCAGGTCCACACATACGTCCGTTTTCGAACAGACCTTCACAAATGCAGTGCATAAAATCAGCCTAAGAAACATTAACATTGGTCGTATCCGTCATTTCTAGCAGAGGCAGAAGTTGGAAAGGCTTTTGGTAGGTAGAGAGGGGGTAAACGTCAAACCACGTCGGACGACTTCTAGAATTTCGAAGTAATGTTTACCTAGAAGTGTCGTTTCATAGAATAAATTGTTAGCGGCGGAACTGGACAATCGCATGTATTTATGGACTATAAATAATTATTAACATGTTTTATACCTAATATCCAAATCATAATTCTACAAAATTTCAACAGCTATTCACAATTTATTAAACTATTTACTCGAAAGTGTTAACATCTAAAAAATAATTTTGTACGTCAATATATTGCGTCTACTTCAGTTAGATCCGCCGCAAACCTGTCAAGTTATGTGTATGAAGTGGGAGAACAAGCAAAAGCCTTTCCAACTTCTGCCCTTTCTGTAATAATCTATAGAATAGGGACAAATCACCAACTGCTAGTCCATCCAATTTTTTTTTGTTCCTCTAAGATTGAGTTCTTTAACTCCAATAATAAACGTTAAGTTTATTTTTTTTATTTCTTGTGAAAATACATATGTTCTTAAATATTTTATTTTTTGTTTTGTAATGTTTTTAGAATAATTTTACTACTGAATTAGTTTTGGTGACATATCACTGTAGTGTCACATAATTACAGATTTGACATGTTTTAAATAATACAGATAAGGAAGTATTTCTTGATTTTTGAAAAAAAAATTGCGGATTATAGTCAAAATTCAAAAATATGTCCTTTCCAAGTTGGAACTGTTTTTTATCGCGGATGTTGAAAACTACCTATTACTTGATAGACATGTAGTAATTTTGATTCGCGGATGCTCTTTTGTGTGTTTGTCAATAATTTGATTTTATTTATCACAATTTTATTTGTGTTTTTATGTTTTACATAGGTTTTAAGTATTTTATGGGTTATTTATTAAAAACTATTTATGTGGTATGAAATATATAGCGCAGTTACTAAATATATATTTACCAAAATTTGTAAGCATATATTGCAGCAAAATATATTTTAAATCAATAAATATTCCTAAATTTTATGTTGTGTTCAGTGGCGTAGCCACGGAGGGGGGTGGGTCGGGGATCAGAACCCCCCATGAAGGGTCATTTCCGCCATAGTATTGGCGCTGATCGCTATTGACTGTTTGTTTTTATTCACTTTCTTCATGGAACCCCCCCATACTTCTCAAAAACCCCTCACATGACAAATGGCTGGCTATGCCACTGGTTGTGTTTATTGCAACAATGAATAGGTACTTAGGTAACTTAGGTTTGTTTGGTAGAAATAGTGATATTAAGCTGAGAAGCAAGGTGTATTCTTTGATCTGTGTCAGTTGGCCAGGAAGCGAATTTTTTAAAAATTGTATTTTCATTTCAGGCGAAATTCAATTCATTTTTTATGTAGGTTCGGTTACGTAATTTTTTTAATTATTTTGATATTTCAAGAAGCATAAATATACCGGGTGTTCAAAGTAAAGTGTTACAGTTAAATACCGCCGAAAATAATCATTTTATAAAAAAAGTTTCAGACAAAAGTTTTATAGTTTTTTGGGGGCAACATTTTGGCTAAATTCATTTTTTTATACCTGACCATAATATGGCCATATCGAGGTGGACTTTTTTTCAAATTGGAACCCCAGTTCATAAAAAAATAAGAAACTTTTAAGAGAAATATTTTTTTATTGGACTTTTACTTATTGGGTAACACCTACTTAAAAATTTTGCTGCGTGAAAAAAAAGTTGGCCATATTATGGTTAGCTATAAAAAACGATTTTAGCCAAAATGTTTTCCCGAGTGTTTTCCCCACAAAACTATCGTCTGAAACGTTTTTTTAAGCTATTGCGTAGCTTTTATCGCGGGCTTTGAGCGCGGCGACCGAATCAAGAAATTCCGTAACGCGTAACGAAAAAAAACCTAACACCCCCACTCCGACCGGCACAGCGGTGCGACGTTAAACAATATTAACTTCTCATTTATTCAATAAAAGAAAATCAAAAAATCGCAAAATCGAAAAGTCGAAAAATCGAAAAACTGAAAAATCGAATAACCGAAAAATCAAAAAATCGAAAAAGAAATTCCGTAACGAAAATAAACCTAACATCCCCCACTCCGACCGGTACAGCGGTGCGGCGTTGAAAGCCGTGCATCGTCTAACGTCGTTTCAGTTCTGCAGACTTCGGCACGGTGTTTGTGTGCGTGCGACTAGACGTATGCGTGCGACTAGACGTATGCGTGTAGACTAGCTGCTAACTGCTCATAACTGATTCTAGCTCTTTTAGACACAATTTCGGAAAAATTGAATTTGAAAATGAATAATGATCCACAAGAATCCACAACAAAATATGGGACCACCATTGACGCGGTATTTTCCAGATATTTAGAGGATATCAAGTCTCAAACTTATGTTTCTTATTTCAGTTACCATAAACCTATAGTTTCAATGATAAAAATTCCTGAATAACCTACATGTATTGTAAGATAATAAAAATATTTTAAACAATATTAACTTCTCATTTATTCAATAAAAGAAAAAAAATTGTTTTCTTATCGGTCACCACGCTTAAAAAGTGTAACTTGAATTAATATCAAAGAAAAAACTTGAATTAATATCAAAGAAAAAAAAATACTGCATAAATAAAACACATAATTATAATTGCATAAGTTGATAAAAAATGCTATGCAATAGCTTTACCGCGGCAGTCCCCGAGTGCCACACGTATTTTTTTTTTTATAAAAGGCGGTATTTAACTGTAACACTTTAATTTGAACACCCAGTATAATTTTTTTTGTTAGTGATGTTTTCTTGTGCAAATATGGGAAAAAATGTTTGGGGTGGTACATCTACATTTCATAACGAAAAACATTTTTTTTAATGCCGTTTTTCTATAGGTAAGTATACTGTATTTTTCTCGAAAAATACTGGTTTTCTAAATTTTTTGTCGAAAATGTACTATATAGAAAAATGGTTATATTTTGACGAAATTCACACTTTTTTGTAAAGAATTAGTCTCTACCACATTCAAAATGGTTCTATTTTTTTTTTCTAAATCGCTAACTTTTTGTGACACTAAAGTGTTATGGTCCCTTAGTTTTTGTTAAATGTATTCAAAGATGCGATTTTTAATATTACCGTACATTTTTCGTATAGGTATTTATCCACCCAGTTTTGGCACCCAATCGCCGCCACTGCTTATGCGATATAATTTTGAGTTTATGACATGAAGCTAATTGTAAAAAATAATATTGTTTTAGATAAAAAAGGAAATTAATATTACCTATTAGTATTAATTTTTTTTGTTAATGTTTAAATTTAGGTACATATGAAAACGTCTAAAATGTTCGATAAGATATAAGTACCTACCTAGGTATTACTCGTAAAAAACGATGAAAGGTAATTAAAGATTGCTTACACTTTGGCCAGCAGTATCTTGATGATTAGAAGCGGTGTGCGGTGGGGTCAGCGGGGCAGAACATAGCACAGGTGCGATGGTCATCGAAGTAGGTCTTTTAAACGAGAGGTCTATGGGCGCTGCGGGGTCCAGAGGGGAGCGGGGCGAATCTGGCCTGGCGACAATCGGGCTGGTGTGGCAGCGAGTGTGAGTCGTAAAGTCTAGAGGAAGGGGACGAGGCGGCGGGGAATCGTACGGGGGCGCCAAAGGGCCCTGCGTTAGCGCCGGAACCCGAGCCTCGACTCCTATGCTTATGCTGCCGCTGTTGAACACTTCGTCGTCCCGCTGTCTGTTAACGTTCAAGGTCAATTCGAACTCACATGCTTTTGTCTCTGTCGCACACTCTGATTTTTCCTTGCTAACACTGTTACGAAGGGTATTTTCTACTTGCAACCACTTCTGTATTTGTCTCCGATGAATTCCGTATTTTCTGGCTGTAGCTCTTTGATTTCCCTTACAATCAGCATCGTTTCTATAAGAATCTAACACTTGCAACTTGAAGTGAGGAGCGAAGATACGACGTGATCCAATGCCTTTGCCTTCGCTTCGACAGTTTGTATTTGCAACACCCCTTTTTATAACTGAATTCACTCCATGGGCCATTGTACACTTATTTTCACCAACGGTACACATTAAAATCAAAATAATACGAAAAAAACAATAAAATATCACCGAGAACTATATCTGCGAGCTATGTAGCAACCATTTTTCGTCACGATTCAGAGAAAACCCCCCACTCTGATGACCGAACTAAGCACTCACGCCATCGATAGGGATTTGAGGTGGATTATGCGTAGGATTCAACGACGTATCATTCATTTTTTTTCTCTCTCTCAATTCCCAAGCTAACACAACAAATATAAATTACATACTTCGTTGATAGACTCACTGGCACGGAGGCTTCGACATCCGTTTATGAAACAAGTTTCCGGACAGTGTTGTCGGCTAACTATGGCTCTTGCCTACTTTTAAAAAAACGAAATTAAAAGTAAAAATTTCGCATAAATTATTTTAAAATTTCCTAACGATTACCTTAAACTTAATAATTTCCACAAAAATTCAATATTTAATGATTAAACGGGATTTTCTCGCTAAGGAATGTGTGAGTTTGGCAACATGGTGTGCGGTCACACCAGACATTCTGTCGCCAAGCCTGCTAGGCCAGACAACGCGTCTCTGAATCTCTGATTCCCTTTCTTTTCATTCATTAGCACACAGAACAGATGGTTAGAATGTTTTTATAACTTTTTCATTGTTTACGGATTTTCGTAGTTACCCACATTATAATACAATCAATATTTTTTTCCCAAAACAGGGCGAAATAATTAGGAACCTATAAAAACAAACTTTGATAGGTACCTACAAATAAGTTGGTATCTAGGTACCTAGTTTTTACGGTAATTATGCAGGTAATTTATGATAATACCTACGTACCTATTATTTACCTTTAGATAAGACATTACATAGGTCACTAAGCTAAATATAGTACATGACAATTGTTGGGGTATATTTAACTGATTAGGTAATGCAAATTACGTAGGTCCTATTATTAGGAATTTATTTCTACCTACCTAGTTGAATAAAAAGAACAGGGCTGGCATTTAATATTTTGCTTGATAGGATGGTACCTATGCAGGTATTTATGAATTGGAAAAAATAGGTTTTTACTTTCCAGTAACCAGTAAGGAAAGTACATACCTACCTATAGAATTAATGATTTTTTTGACTTCGAGTTTTCAACGGATCTTTACGATTTGGGGTCCCCTGAATCCGTTTTGACCATTTTCGCGATGATGTCTGTCTGTGTGTGTATGTGTGTGTCTGGATCCACGATAACTCAAAAACGAATAAAGATAAAAACACCAAATTTTAAACTAGGTAGGTAGGTAACTCATTTTCTACCATGAGCTGATTGAGCATATAGTCAGAGCATCTAGGAAAGGTACTTTATAGGGGATCGTTTTTATACTTTAAGGTACCTACCTATATAGGTATTTCTGTCATTATTTATGATTGGAGTAGAACATTCTTCAAATAAGAGTTATTGTTTGTATCATTCTGTTTAATTTTTGTCATTTAGGTAGTAGGTACATCATTTCTCTAAAATTACCCGTAATGGAGAATTTTGATAATAAGTGCAAAATTAGACATTTCAAATCAAATTAAAAAAAAATCGATGAAAATGTATATGGAAATGTTTTAGGTAAGTAGGTATACCTATTTAATTCATTTTCTAAACACTTTTTGATTAGATGGCCCGTACCCAATATAGCTCTTGCTCGGTTGCTCGGAAAAACTTATTTATACCAAAAAAAAGGTGGATGGTTTAGGAGGGAAGGGAGAGTATTCACAAAAAATATTTAGGTTAGCGATTAGATTTTGTGTTAGAAATTGTGAAAAGTTAGATATATCTAGGTAAAAACCCAGCTAGAAAAATAATAGGTAATAAATTTTATTAATTTTTATTACTTTTTATTCATTTTCATTAATTTTCATTAATTTTTATTAATTTTTATTAATTTTTATAAATTTTTATTACTTTTTATTCATTTTCATTAATTTTTATTAATTTTTATTAATTTTTATTAATTTTTATTAATTTTTATTAATTTTTATTAATTTTTATTAATTTTTATTAATTTTTATTAATTTTTATTAATTTTTATTAATTTTTATTAATTTTTATTAATTTTTATTAATTTTTATTAATTTTTATTAATTTTTATTAATTTTTATTAATTTTTATTAATTTTTATTAATTTTTATTAATTTTTATTAATTTTTATTAATTTTTATTAATTTTTATTAATTTTTATTAATTTTTATTAATTTTTATTAATTTTTATTAATTTTTATTAATTTTTATTAATTTTTATTAATTTTTATTAATTTTTATTAATTTTTATTAATTTTTATTAATTTTTATTAATTTTTATTAATTTTTATTAATTTTTATTAATTTTTATTAATTTTTATTAATTTTTATTAATTTTTATTAATTTTTATTAATTTTTATTAATTTTTATTAATTTTTATTAATTTTTATTAACTTTTATTAATTTTTATTAATTTTTATTATTAGTTTTATTAATTTTTATTAATTTTTATTAACTTTTATTAATTTTTATTAATTTTTATTAATTTTATTAATTTTTATTAATTTTTATTAATTTTTATTAATTTTTATTAATTTTTATTAATTTTTATTAATTTTTATTAATTTTTATTAATTTTTATTAATTTTTATTAATTTTTATTAATTTTTATTAATTTTTATTAATTTTTATTAATTTTTATTAATTTTTATTAATTTTTATTAATTTTTATTAATTTTTATTAATTTTTATTAATTTTTATTAATTTTTATTAATTTTTATTAATTTTTATTAATTTTTATTAATTTTTATTAATTTTTATTAATTTTTATTAATTTTTATTAATTTTTATTAATTTTTATTAATTTTTATTAATTTTTATTAATTTTTATTAATTTTTATTAATTTTTATTAATTTTTATTAATTTTTATTAATTTTTATTAATTTTTATTAATTTTTATTAATTTTTATTAATTTTTATTAATTTTTATTAATTTTTATTAATTTTTATTAATTTTTATTAATTTTTATTAATTTTTATTAATTTTTATTAATTTTTATTAATTTTTATTAATTTTTATTAATTTTTATTAATTTTTATTAATTTTTATTAATTTTTATTAATTTTTATTAATTTTTAATAATTTTTATTAATTTTTATTAATTTTTATTAATTTTTATTAATTTTTATTAATTTTTATTAATTTTTATTAATTTTTATTAATTTTCATTAATTTTCATTAATTTTTATTAATTTTCATTAATTTTTATTAATTTTTATTAATTTTTATTAATTTTTATTAATTTTTATTAATTTTTATTAATTTTTATTAATTTTTATTAATTTTTATTAATTTTTATTAATTTTTATTAATTTTTATTAATTTTTATTAATTTTTATTAATTTTTATTAATTTTTATTAATTTTTATTAATTTTTATTAATTTTTATTAATTTTTATTAATTTTTATTAATTTTTATTAATTTTTATTAATTTTTATTAATTTTTATTAATTTTTATTAATTTTTATTAATTTTTATTAATTTTTATTAATTTTTATTAATTTTTATTAATTTTTATTAATTTTTATTAATTTTTATTAATTTTTATTAATTTTTATTAATTTTTATTAATTTTTATTAATTTTTATTAATTTTTATTAATTTTTATTAATTTTTATTAATTTTTATTAATTTTTATTAATTTTTATTAATTTTTATTAATTTTTATTAATTTTTATTAATTTTTATTAATTTTTATTAATTTTTATTAATTTTTATTAATTTTTATTAATTTTTATTAATTTTTATTAATTTTTATTAATTTTTATTAATTTTTATTAATTTTTATTAATTTTTATTAATTTTTATTAATTTTTATTAATTTTTATTAATTTTTATTAATTTTTATTAATTTTTATTAATTTTTATTAATTTTTATTAATTTTTATTAATTTTTATTAATTTTTATTAATTTTTATTAATTTTTATTAATTTTTATTAATTTTTATTAATTTTTATTAATTTTTATTAATTTTTATTAATTTTTATTAATTTTTATTAATTTTTATTAATTTTTATTAATTTTTATTAATTTTTATTAATTTTTATTAATTTTTATTAATTTTTATTAATTTTTATTAATTTTTATTAATTTTTATTAATTTTTATTAATTTTTATTAATTTTTATTAATTTTTATTAATTTTTATTAATTTTTATTAATTTTTATTAATTTTTATTAATTTTTATTAATTTTTATTAATTTTTATTAATTTTTATTAATTTTTATTAATTTTTATTAATTTTTATTATTAATTTTTATTAATTTTTATTAATTTTTATTAATTTTTATTAATTTTTATTAATTTTTATTAATTTTTATTAATTTTTATTAATTTTTATTAATTTTTATTAATTTTTATTAATTTTTATTAATTTTTATTAATTTTTATTAATTTTTATTAATTTTTATTAATTTTTATTAATTTTTATTAATTTTTATTAATTTTTATTAATTTTTATTAATTTTTATTAATTTTTATTAATTTTTATTAATTTTTATTAATTTTTATTAATTTTTATTAATTTTTATTAATTTTTATTAATTTTTATTAATTTTTATTAATTTTTATTAATTTTTATTAATTTTTATTAATTTTTATTAATTTTTATTAATTTTTATTAATTTTTATTAATTTTTATTAATTTTTATTAATTTTTATTAATTTTTATTAATTTTTATTAATTTTTATTAAATACTCTATATTTATTTAAGGATTTTTTTTCTACACCCGTATTATAATAATGCACTTAGGGTAAATAAGACAGTCATTGGCCAGTTAAGGATAGTTCTTGTCTTCATGCTATTCTCATTTAAGACCATTTAATACAATATTCTTAAAAATGTTGTTTTGAATATATTGGAATGTCAACTTTTCAGTTTAACCAAAATATTAGCCATCTGAACTACACAAATATATAAACAAATATTATGAATAAAAAAATACACAAAAACTCAGTTATTGGCCACTAGAACACAGTAATTGTCACCTTAGATACACAGTTATTGGCCATATGCAAAATAAGTATTAGGTTCTTTTCATAAAATATTTTATTAAATATGAGATCATTAGAACAAAAAAAAATATTAATATTAAGGATCACTCGACACACAACTTTTACACTTAAAAGTTTTTGATTTTAATCCATCCTGGATTGTGTTTGCACATATGAAGTGAAATGTGCGAAGACAAGTTAAACATCGAACTCCACATCTGGACGATGTAATATTTTTTACACAATTGTAACAAAGTCCTTTGGTGACTTT